GATTCTCGAGCTACCAGGTACGTGTGAAATAAAACATGTAAGCATTTTTTTCAATGGATTAACATATCTGGATATTACCACCTATAAATTCCGCCAAGTAGCCTGTATTATCTGATTATCAACTACTTCAAAGAGAACTTTTTCAACTTATTGGACACATTTTTGCGCACATTGTACACCATGGCAAATACTTGCTTACAGTTCACGGGTTTTGTGATGAGTTTTCTTGGTTGGATCGGTCTTATCATCGCCACTGCCACTAATGAATGGGTGGTCACTTGTAAATACAACATGAACACATGTAAGAAGATGGATGAACTGGAGGCCAAAGGTTTATGGGCAGACTGTGTGATCTCAACTGCGCTGTATCACTGCATCACACTCACGCAGATTCTCGAGCTACCAGGTACGTGTGAAATAAAACATGTAAGCATTTTTTTTTCGGAATGAAGATGAAAACCGTTACTGAAACAATGCATTTTCATGATTTAAAACATGAGCATAAGGATAAAATTACATAAAAGAGTTTATTAAATAAAATATAAATATGAAATAAAATTTTAACATGCAAATACATTTAAAATTTATTTTCTAAAAGAATTCATATAGTATGTTATATAAAACTATATAGCAGTTTTACAAAGTGCATAAGCATTGTTTTATATATGCTTATATAAAACAACTTGTTCACCACTATACTATCGCTTATCTAAATAGTTGAATCTGTTTAACTGAATTGTATTATTATTATATAATGAAAAGGAGAATAAAATGATTCTGTTCTTTGTTGAAGCGTACATCCAGACGTCTCGAGCGCTAATGGTCACAGCATCGATTCTCGGATTGCCTGCTGTCGCGCTCGTGCTCATGTCTATGTCCTGTATTAACCTCGGAAGTGAACCAGAAAGCGCCAAGAACAAACGATCAGTGCTCGGAGGAACCATAATCCTGCTGACTGGTAAACCTGTATTTAAATTAAACTCATATTTTACGCTCAGAAAAATGACACTAACATACCCTTATGCCACTTAGTATTCTGTAAATTGAAGATGAGTGTATATCTCTCTCACTTACATTAAGGGTATGATGCAACATACAACAAAAATGGCTATACTTTAATGTTAAGTGTGTTTTTTCCTTCTCAGCTTTTTGCGGCATCGTCTCCACCGTGTGGTTTCCCATCGGGGCCCATCACGAGAGGGGCTTGATGTCCTTTGGCTTCTCCCTGTATTCGGGCTGGGTGGGCACTGCACTTTGTTTGCTGGGAGGTTGTATGATCACCTGCTGTTCAGTGGACACCCCTACTACATACACTGACAACAATCGATTCTACTACTCCAAACAGGGCCCCGCTCATTCCGGCCCCGCCTCCACTAACCACGCCAAAAGTGCTCACGTGTGAGCTTCGGGATTACTGCTCAGATCTGATTTCTACTCTGTTTTTGCTCTCTCTCTCTCTCTCTTTCCACTGTTTTTTGTTTCAACAATGTCTCTATCTACAGTGGTGACTCTTTGGATAGTTATTTTCCAGCTGAACTCTGACCTTTTGACACGGAGCGGGGTATGTCACCCAGATGTTACATAACAAGGGACAGTCGCTGGTGAAGGACCTCCAATGAAGGATTCAGTGTTTAAAAGGTCTTCTACTGGTTCTGCTCAGTACAATGTTCCATTTTAAGTCCTATGTTTGTAGTGAAAAAATAATTTTTGCATTGTTATATGAATACTAACAGTATTGCCATTGTTGATTTATTCTAAATCTTTCAGTTTATTTCAGTCTGTTTGTACAGCTATATTTTCATTTTGTTTAATTTCAGACCATTTCACGATAGCCACCCAAACAAAACTACCAAAATTGGACCAAAGCAGTAATTACTTAGCAATATTATTTATTGTAATACTTTGTATGCAGTTTTTGTTATGTTGTAATAAACAATGTTGTCCATGTGAATTAAAAAAAATGTTTTTATATATATTATAGGCAATATGTCATTTTTTTGTATATAAAACTCTCTGTGCTGGGAAACTGAACTGAATTGCTCTCAACAGGACTGTATACTGTTGAGAACGTGGTGTCTGCTGTCAGATGCCCAGGCAGGTGTAATGCATCATCATTAAACCTCTCATTCATTTTCACTAAAAGCACTCGAGACACACATACAGTTCAGGTATCCGAGACATGTACCCGTATCGATTTCTCTTACTCCAGTGAGAAACTTGTCCCATTACGACCAATGGGCAACTCAATGACTGGCAGACAGCGCTGATTAAAGGTTAACGGTCGCATTCGGCCATAAAGGCAGATTTATGCTCCGGTTGCGACGAGTCTCCGTCTTTGTTCTCTGGTTGGGATCCTTGCACTGAATGCTTCCTGTTACACATGGAGTTTGAGTGGACATACAGTCAAAAATGGCTGAATACTGAGGATATAAGCAACATGTGAATGTCTCTGTACATCGTGTGAAAAAGAAAACAGCAAATTTAACCACTACAGTATAATTTAATCTGTGTAGGGTGATGTTTAGATGTCAAATATTGCTTTTTCGTAGATCTTATACGTTCAGTCTTTGGTTAGAGGTGGTTTGGGGTGAAGTAAATTCAATTAAAAATGGCATTGGAATCTACAGTATTTTTCTTTTCCAAATATGGCTGCAAATAACAACATACAAGCAGAAGGAGAGACAGACAGAGCAGAGATTGACCTGAACTAGAAGGAATCAGGAAGATGAAAAGTTTAGCACTTTCTTTTTAAAGGGTCATGAAACACTAGCACACATTTTTGGGATGTTAACAAATATTGTATGTTGCAGATAATATAAATGGTACTTTTTTTGAAGAGAGAAGCTGATCGTTTGGTCTATTTTAGTATTCTGGTGTCATGAACAAATTAGTCCAGTAGCATGAAAAGGCCTTTAAATGTAAGCTCTATTCAGTGCCTGATTAGAAAACCTACACACTTGGCGTATGCTATATGTTGTCTTAATTATGTAAATATGACTATTTACCTTTAAAAAAAATGTATAGCTTCACAAAGCTATGGAGTTTGAAATATTCCTTGTTCTTTAACTGCTCAGCATACTAGATTAGCATACCACTAGCCTGTTAGCTTATTAAATCGATCATCTTTAATCATTTAAGATCATGCAAATAATAAAATGCGAAAATTAAATTTTATATATTTAATTTTGGCATCGGATTTGAAATCAATATTGAGTCAGAATCAACAGGATGTGACATTTTTGTTAACTAAAGTGTATGTCAGATGCCTCTTTCACACACACTTCTGAGCAATTTTCAACATTTAAGAGAACTGATTCATGGTGGGTTTCATGACCCTTTAATGTTCTTTGCATAATTTGAGAAAGGATATATCTGCATTTGTACAAACATGAGACAACGTCGCTAGTCAAAGTGCTGCAGGGGTCAATTTCTTACAAGAGAATAATCATATTCTAATGTGGAAATACAGCAACCGTGACTTACTAATTTGAGCTCGACTGTGTTTATCTTGGAAAACTGATAGTACTGAGCTAAAAAATTACAAAATTGTGTATTGGTACCTAATACTCCAGTAAAAAAAAAAAAGTTACTGATTAAAATCTCACAGTATGAGACTAACCTGGAACTGACCAGAAAAATATGCAGTTTCCAGAATGTTCGAAAAACACCAAAAGGCTTCTTTTGGTGACAGGAAATGACTGATACTTTGAGCAGAGTCAATATCACCTTTTGCATAAGGATTTTTGATAAGGATCTTTAACACAAGTATTAGGATATATTCGTATTAAAGCAACTATGTTTGCATAAGCATAAAAGTGCATAATATTTACGTTTTTAAGCATATAAGGAAAATATAACCATCTACCACACACTATCAAAGCATTTAACGTCTTCCTCACATCCAGGATTAGCACCAGGATATTTTACATCAGAAAAACGGGAGGCTTCCCCCCCCCAAACAGATGACGTATAATATAAGGACATCACATTTAAATCTGATTCAGGCTGATGACAGATGACACAAATGACATCCTATGAGTGCCTCATAGGAATAACACTTATGAAGACCCTCCCACAAAAGGAGTGTGCTTCAGGTTGTGTCGATGTCTGCGCCATACAGACAGATGGGTCTGATCTGTATGAATTGACCATAACAACATGCTTTGAGATCTCCAAACCATATTGTACTACATCGACCACCATTGCAGCAATGATAATGGAACAGTACATCTCGATCTGTTTATCTCATTCCTCTGCATAGCCAGCGGCGCCCCTCCCAGTATGACCATGTTTGTTTTGTGCTCAGGTACGACCCTTGGATCGCTGTTATTCTAGGCTCAGCGCTCCACCCCACAGGAAACAGAGCAGGCCTACACCGCTTACACAAGCCACCCATGTGAGGATATTTATTACCTCTGATTTCGGGTTGTGTGAGATCGCCTTAAAGCGAAAGGAAAACCAAGAGTCACGCTTATCTGATCTGCAATAAATGACTTTCATTGTTGCATGGAAGCAATATTAACATCTCATTACACAGTGCAACGGGAGAGCAAAACCACAAGTAGAAGAAACAATAAATAGATTCTTTAAAAAAAATCATTGAAACCAGAATACATCCACTTCATACCAAAATATACAGCAGAAACAAAGATCAGATTTGCAAGGGAAGCCAATCTCCACATTTCCTGGACAAATACCGAAAAAACTATGATAGCAGTAAAGATAGTTCACAAAGTACAAACACTGTACCTTTTCTCAGAGACAAATAACAAATAGTAGCTGACTTTAAAAGCAATAGTGGAAACATTTTAAGATTTTTTTTTTTTTTACAGACATATTTTTAATAAAATATTTCTGTACGTAGATTTTAATCTTACTTAAAATAATAATTCACCCACAAATGAAAATGGTCATTATTTACTCACCCTAATGTCGCTCAAAACCTGTATGACTTCTGCTGAACACAAAATAACTGGTTTTGTCCTTACAATGAAAGTCAATGGGGTCCAAACATCATCAATGGACCCCATTGAATTCCATTGTAAGGACAAAAAAATAAGTTTTTTGTTGTGTACAGATTGGAAGTGGTATGAGGGTGAGTATATGATGACATAATATTTATTTTGGGGGGAACTATCCCTTTAAAACCATGCCCTCTTTGAGCCTATTCTTATGGGCTAACATTTATTTAAATCAAAACTACTAAATCAAAATCCCAAAATCTCCAGTTCTGTTTTTAGAAAGAGGTAATTAAAAATATATGCTTTCAACACTTTTCTTTAGAAGTTCTTCTGTACCCACAAAACACCACCGGTGGTGACTAGGCTACCCCAACAGAGAACCTGAAGGTATGAAATGCCTGTAAAAAAATACTTCTCTTCGATATCTCACGTCTCCACACTGTTATATGGTATTCTACTCTACAGAAGTAAAATGGTGTCTTTTGTCGGATATAGTAAACAAAGGTTGCAGACTTTGGCTTGCTTTGTAAACAGAGGCCACTCGGGAAAAGGAGGGTTCGGGGGGTGTACGGTCGGCAGGCTGCTACCCTCGTCTCTCAGAATGCTACATTTGAGATTTACATCAAGTCTTTCATCAGTCAATACACATGCAAATACTCACAGTTTTACTCTGGGCCTGTTTGTTTGGAACATGCTATACATTCAGCAAAATGCCACGGCGACAAAGAATCACATCATAGACCAGATGCAAGGAACTAAACCAACCCAGGCCCCAAAATGAAGCTCTATGCGCTTGTGAGAGCTAATGGGACTAAAAGGACACAGCCTGCAAATAATTTATGGCAACTCAATATTTCGTTTTTTGTTATTTCAACATATTTGTCACAAATAAAAAATTGGTTGAGACACATTTAAAGTAATATGACATGAAATACACAGTGCGTTTTGAACACATGTGGCCTTCCAAATGTATGGATTTGAGGCCTGGCTTGGTTGCTTTTTGTTTTTTATTATTTATGTATTTTTTGCCTTTTTCGGCTGCCAGAGCTGTTGCACAGATAGAGTTAGACTGAACAGATCAATTGAACGCCACATGAATTATAGGAGAACAGCAGAAGAGCACAGCCAGATAAAAAATTCACAACAGGCTCCACACCACATGCAAATTTCACTCCCTCTCTTTTCCTAAACCTCTTCCTTTTTTTTGGTCAACGGACACACTGACCAGCTGAGAGACACAAATCATACTGTGGTCACACCGTCAGTATTTACACAGAGCTGCCTGCTTGCAAGGATGAAGCGGAGTCACTGGCACATAGGATGAATGGATGGTCGGTGGTGACACGTGACGGCTGACAGGCACCTTCACAAGGGAAAAAAACCCCCATGGATATGTCGGCATCAACAGAAATGACAAACAAACATGCATGGAAATCTTGATGGTCATATTTAAAGCACACACTGACAGATGAAGGCACTATTGCAAGCAAAGTCCAATTACTATTTGTGACAACCTACAGTCAAAACCTCACTTGGGCTAGATGTTAGAGCAGAAGAGAACGAGGCCTTTGATTCAGTGGGGTCATTCTCAGTCGCATTTTATGGCTATCATTTATCTTTGCTTCTCAAAACGAACCTTTTTGTATGCAACATTAAAATTTATTAAGAAAAACAACTGCTTATTGAATTGCAAAAGTATGCAAAGCGCTTTAAGTGTTTTAGGGCTTCACACGGCAATGTTTCCTGGTTTTATATCGACCCCACATAACATTGGGGCTAACAGACTACAGGAAGTGACCTGTGAATGGACATCCTCCTGACAGATGAAAGACGGTCATATTGGGAAAGGCTGTGGGACTGTGATAACTAACAGGGCAGTAATAAACTACTCACCGGATAATAAATTTCATGCTAGTTACTGTAATTTGGGTGGGGACTTTTTCAAGTGAAACAATAGATTATATATATTTAAGTGCCGAAGAATTCGGTAACATGATTACAGTGAGAATTAGGGATCAAACTGTTAAAATTGATTTTAAAAAGAAGGAATATTTGGGCTCTTTAGGTTCTGTGTGGTCAAAAAAAAAAAAGCCAATCAAAAGCCTTCAAAAATTTAAATCCCATCCTATGTGTTCTCATTATCCTATCAGTAGTGAAAAAGGGCTGCAAATGAAAGAATAGGAATAAAATAAAAACTCATTGCAGAGACATAACAACCTAGCCCAAGGGTTCTGCAGTTGTTGGCAGACGAGTACATTCAGATTACATTCTCATTCCAAAGGATCGTCCAAATCGTCGTCGACTACCAGGGCCTCAAAGCCCGGACTGGGTTTGCCAGCTTTGCTTTTGGCCCTGCTGTTTGAGGAGGAAGAGGAGGTCTTGTGGTTGTCCACCCTGTCCAGGCCGTCAGGCTGAGGCTCGCTCTGCTCCTGGTGTTGCTGTTTCTGGTGCCCACCTTTGCCCTCATGGGAGCCCCAGGTTTGGTACGGCCCTCCGTCTCCAGAAGGGTGCAGATCATCATCTACTACAAAGTTGTCATCCACGCCAATGTCATAGCGCTGGTATGTGCTAGCGTGGGCCTCCTCCTCACGTGCCGTGATCTCCAGGGTGCTGTTCCACATGCCGTAGCCGAAGTAGATCAAAACACCTGCAGAAACAAACACACAGAGACAACACAAACAATGCACACATACATAATCTACTGCACAAATGTACTGATGAGTGTTTTCTCTCAGTCAAACATAGCAAATGAGTAATAGTGGAGGTATTAGTCTGCTCATATAAGAGAAAGGAATGTGGGTCATTCCTGTTTTGCAGGAGTTTTGAACTCTGCAATTTTTACAGTAAAAAGTAAATGTGATTGTTTTGTAATTTAAGGATGTATTTCTATAAAAAACTATTCACCAAGAATATATATTAACTACAACTTAATTAATTAAAAAATAAAATTAACTAACTGAGCTAATACTATCAATTGCTCAGTGAGGTTTAGATGAAGGTGTCAATATGAAGTTAATTCAGATTTTTACAACCATCTTTCAAAATTAATATTACAAAAGTAATATTATCATATATCAATTTTAGAAACATTCCCCCAACCAACTAACTAACTTACTAACTAAATAAATAAATCACATAATTTATTAAATTCCATTGGTGATCATTATGGATGTTTATTTAAATATGATGTCACTTTATGTAGGATGATGGGTCAGCTGGTGGGTCGCAAGACCATTCTGAGTGGGTCGCGGATTGTACAGTCAAAGAAACAACATCAACAACAAAAAACGTAATTCTAAATGTTTTTTCTGATGCAAGACGTTTATTTTGAAAGATGTGCGTGAAAGCTGTTGACACTTTTTTTTTTGTAGTTTAAGTAAAGACTGCCTGAGAAAAACATGCTGTCCCGATTCAGTATCTGCGGTCAGATGAGATGTTGTTGACTTAATGTCAGTCTCATTATTCTATTGTTATTTTTGTAGCTTGTTATGAAATAAAAAGTCTCTCACCTCAGAAAAATGAACTATCCTGTCCTGTCAGACGTTATACTGTGCTTGTAGCACGCTCTCTTCAATTGCACGCACAAAGACGTATCTTACTGACCCCAAACCTTGGAACAGTAGTGTATACATGAAACTGCATCTCAGGAATGACCCATGTAAATAAAATGCTGCCTGTATAAACCTGTCCATTTAAAATGATACTGAAACTCACCCACAAAGCACCATACGCCAAAACGGATCCATGTGATGGTGGAGAGCTTGAGCATGAGGTAAACATTTACCAGCATGGCGGAGGCCGGGACGAAGGGAACGCAGGGAGCCATGTAGGGCAGGCGCTTGGGGTTCTCCGGCTGCTGAACGATGATGAAGATCAACAGCATGATGACCAGAAGCAGCAGCACCAGCAGCAGCACCGCCCACCACTGGCCATCAGCGATCTGACCCGACCCGAAGATGATGAGGGAGCAGAAGCAGAAGATGAGGATGAAGAGCAAAATGACGCAGCGGGTGACGATGCGGCCAGTGGCCATGGTGGGTCGGTCCATCTTGCCCGGCAGGCCAAGCTGAATGCGCATGGTGTAATAGCGAGGCCCCAGCAGCTTCTTCAACTTTAGCAGATACACGCTATCTGTCTCATCTGACTCGATGCCTGAGGACATGTCCACTGTGCCGTAGTTGGGGTGACTGGCTGTGTAGGTGGACTTGTCAGGTTTACCGATCAGCATCTCGTTGTCTCCTAGAGACGGCAAGTTCTTGGCTCCACAGGTGTTTGTTGGAGCTCCTCCAAAATCATCGACCTCACTGATTGGCGAACAGGCTTCCTTCTCACACTCGGCCAGAACTCCCTCCTTACGCTTTGCGTTCTGCTCGGAGAGGAAGTTTACGAATCCGTGAATGTCTCCTTCGGGCTGGTAACGTAGCAGCAGCACACACACCGACACTAGCGTGTAGGCTAGCAGAGTGCCGATGGACATCATCTCAATCAGGTCCCTCAGACTGACGAGCAAAGCCAAGAGAGCAGAGAGGAAGCCCGACACCACACAGGCCACTGCAGGAGTCTCTGTGTATGTGCTCACATTGGCCAGGAACCTAAAACATACAGATTGTGCACGACACCTTCAATCCTCCAATCACAAGAGGGCAGTGCTAGACACAGGTGTAAATGGAGTCCATAGCGAATTTGGATGTAGTCAGAAATGTATATGACCACTTTACATTTGAAGTGTGAGCGCTGATCTGTCATGGACACCTGAAAGTATTGACTACTCAACTGTCAATCAACGACTGCATTAAAGAAAAAGGTTACATTTTGTCAGAGGTGTGTGGCTTCAAAATAACTGTCCGAAAAGTTTGGGGTCAGCAATATATACTGTATATATTTACATTAATACTTAAAAATATATTTATAATGTTACAATAGTTTACTATTTCACCTAATATATCACTATTCATCAACGAATCTCGGAGAAAATGTATCACAGTTTTCAACATTGATAATAATAAGGAATGTTTCTTGAGCACCAAATCAGCATATTTGAATGATTTCTGAAGGATCATGTGACACTGAAGACTGGAGTAATGATGCTGAAAATTAAACTTTGCCATTACAGGAATTAACTACATTTAAAATTACATTTTTGAACATGTGAACATGTAGCCTTGGCAAACATAAGAATCTTTCAAAATCATTAAAAAGTCTTACTGACCCCAAATTTAGTATAGTGCATGTATTGACAGATTACGTGTAGCTCAGCCGAAAATAATTTATTACAGTTACTCCACTAAAATGTTTTTCCCCCCCTTGAAATGTCATATTTGCAGTGATATTGAAATCTAGTATTATTAGTCTTTTTTAATACATTTAAAAAATAGTTTAAAGACCCTCACCTTTGAATCTGATCACAAATGGTCATATAAGATGCATTTGAGCTATTTTGAGAGATACTACTACCGAATGCACAACAATGCATCTTGTCTGACCACTTTTGATAACCAATGACGAGTGTACTGATGTTAACACCATGTGCAAACAGGGTGAATCATCCGAACATTAATTTGATCAAAGAAGTCTTACCACATACCCATTATACTGGCTTTGATTTAAAATGTCAAGGCTCTAAGTAACATTTATTTTGAGACTGCATGATGGCAGGAGCTTACTTCTCCAGCAGAGAATGATATTTAAATGGCATTTTTGCAACATTTAATGGAAACAGACGCATTATAGAGCATCACGGATCATTACTTAACCCTGTGATTTCATTTTATTTTACCTGAAGAGCAAACCATCTCCGGCCATGGCATAGATGATTCTCGGCATTGGGAAGAGAGAGCCCAACAAACTGACTGTCAGTCCTGCAATGGAGCCAATGGCCACTATGTATTTGGCAGTTTGGAAGCCATGTAGAGAAAACATCTCCATCAGCGGAGCATCTGTGTCAATTTCATTGTAGGGGACCATCAGCGTGAGGATCACACTCACCTGTGAGAGAGACAGAGAGGCAGAAAGTGTGATTCATTGACCTTACAAATTGACCGTACATTTTTTTTGTGCTGCTGTGACTTTAAGAAATGCCCCATCATGAATTTTAGGATCAGACTGAAATGATCAGGAATATTGTTAAAAATCTTCTAATGTTGAGAATCTTTGGAAGAATATGCAAAGTAGACTGAAACAGTACTTTCTTTTTCTTTCTTTCTGGTGTTTAGCACTACAAGAGTTTATTTTGAAGTTTCTGAACACCAAACAGGCATCACACTGATGTTTCCATATATTCAAATATCAATATCAAATATTTTTTTTGCTGGGTAGGAAGCACTGAGTTCTGAAAGTTACCATCTGTTTTCATAGAACTGTACAATGGACACTTTTATATCAAAAGATCAAGGACACTTTGATTGCACGTGATATGACCCATTTAATAAATCTCAGAAAATGCTATCTTTATCTGTAACACAAACACGCACATATGCACACAAACATACACACACATACAGACAGGGACATGAAATGCCTGGCTAAAATTAGCCTCTACGACAACAAAATGAGATCTGGAGTGGTGAACGCTGCTAATGAACAAGTTTGCTTCTCATCAGACAGTCCTGTAGGTGTGAAAATGAAGAGCCATTTTAGTAAAGGCAATTTCATTCCATCTGAAACCAAAACAGACGTGAGAAAAATTGGAGAGAGATAAAAGAATAAAAAGATCAATTAGAAGGAAACAGAAAAAAATAGAAATGAAATATATAGAATATATTGTTCTGAGATGCAGACAAGAGGTCTGTTGGTGAACTAACACCCATTGCGTTACTATGACAACCTCCTAAAGACAGACAGCACTGCACAGTGATAAAGCCGGAGAGCTTTAATAAATTCAGACATGCTACATGAAGAGAATAATCAATGACTGTCCGTGAACACAAAGAAAAGAACAAAAAAAAGTTATGCCACAGTAGATGATCTTTTTAAATAAAAACTCAGGCATGCATTATTTATATTCTTATATGGAGAAGCTGAAGTATCAACAGACTGTGAATTAAATAATCTAAACTTTATCCCCTGACTCAAGTCACTTGTATCATCAATAGTTTTAACAGAAAAGAAAGACAGCAAAAAGATAGCAACATATACAATTTTCAGGTTTAAATGAAAAAATATATGGAGAAAAGAACCCAAAATTAGTGATGGTTAATGCCATATACTCACAGAGACATAGGCAGTGAGACAGGTGACCAGAGAGGCAGTGATGGCATAAGGGATGGATGTGTTGGGACTCTTGGCTTCCTCTCCGGTGGTGGCTATAATGTCAAACCCAATAAAAGCATAGAAGCATGTGGCTGCACCCTGCATGACCTGTTGGGCAGAGCGGTTTATTATAGTTACAAGACAATGCAATTTCCTCCTCAGTGTTTATGCTGAGAGGCACTAGCGGATTGAACTTCAATAATTAATTTGAAATGTACTTTACCCCTGACCAGCCATAAGGCAAGAATCGTCCCTCATCCCAGTTGCTGCCACTGACGAAGAACAGGCCTGCAATCATTATGAATACCCACACCACCAGATTGATGACATTCAGCACGTTGTTGAACCCGACGGAATTCTTCACGCCTAGAGCAACGATCACTGTGACCAGGATGACTATGACCAGGGCCAAGATGTCCGGATACGCCTGCTCCCCTTTACCTGAGAGGTGATGAAGGGAAGCCAGTTTTGATGCTGGCATTATAAAATATTGTCTGAAAGTTTAAACAAACTTAAAAAGCATTGAATTTTTAAACTTAATTAGGCCTCACATTGTCTCGAATACTATAACATATACAGTGGATAAACTAGCAGGCAGGCAGGCAGGCAGGCAGACAGACAGACAGACAGACAGACAGACAGACAGACAGACAGACAGACAGACAGACCGACAGACCGACAGACCGACAGACCGACCGACCGACCGACCGACCGACCGACCGACCGACCGACCGACCGACCGACCGACAGACAGACAGACAGATAGACAGATAGATAGATAGATAGATATTATTAAAAAGAAAAGTTTAACATTATTTCACAAATAAAATATACACTGCGTTACTGCATTCTTAAATATTTGGAATAAATGAATAAAAACTTTATGAGATTTATACTTCATTTTAATAAATATGGAAAATGTAAACATTAGGTGTAATTGGAACATGAAATTTACACTGGAATAAAAAAAGCATTAAAAACAGTGGGGACTTGACAATGAGGACAATGAGGCCTCTTCATTTCAGAACAGCACGGCACACCATTGATAAATATAAATATAAATAAACAGACAGATAGATGACAGATGACAGTAATGAGTTTGGACAGCTGTTTTCATAACTTGACAACAGACAGTCCTCATCTGACCCCTCAATACCATCATTAATAAAACATGCATTTCTAAAAAATACTCAGCATTCTAACCAGGCCTTAAGCTGAAATGACTATGAACCATAACGTGGCTGTTACGTGTGTGCAGAGAGACACACAGATGTAGAGATATTAGATTTTTGGAGGAAAGGGATTGGTAAAAGAAAAAGAAGATATTTTACAACAGCTGGTTGAGAAAGATTGTGTATTTTGGTATGATATGCCATGTTTTATCAGACACAATAGTCTATATGTAATATCTGTCTGCAAACCAAACATGCCATGCAGGAAGCAAATATTGTCCCTTTCAGTACCCAATATCAATATTTAATTCCTCCATCTGTAGTATCTACAGTAGATGTATGGTGTATCTTTTTGAGAACTCTACAAAGATCAAGGGTTTTTAATGCCAAGGACCCCAAAATATGATAATCCCCTTGTTAGGGGCCTTCTCATAAAATATAAAGGCAGCTCTACATATTGATGTCAGACAAAAGTGTGATATTCTAAAAACATTTGTATTACTGTAACAAAATCAGACAATTAAACCATATTAAAATATTATCTGTAAAATATTTTTTAAACAGTACTATTCATTTATTCATGTGTAAAACATTTGAAAAGATGACTGTATAACCAAGTAATTGCATAATAAGCATTCAAGATACATGGAAGCATTTTTCACATGAACATGCAGTAAAACAAGGATATGTCAAGATCTAGAATTTGCGTCAGATCATATTTGCTTTAAAAAATATTTCTGTCCTAATTTTAATAGTAAATGCCCAACCTTCAGAAATGTAAGTGGAGCAGCTGTTTCACAGTGCAACAAAGCTGTGAGAAAGGTTGCTCTGTTTTTTAACAAGCTTTCCTCACATTGCATTGTCACCAGACTATTGACTGCTAAAGTTAGAGGTGCCTTTTCTTTTCTGCAGCACCATTAACTCCAGTCTATATCAAGCCTACTATAACTTGTGCTGTAATTGCTGTGTGTGTATGTCTCAAGATTATTAGTGTGTCATTTTCAAATTCTTTCTTTGAAAACGGCAACATTCAGTGACATGAAATCAATCATTTAACTCATTTAGAAAATAGGGTGGATTTAATAATAACAGGCTGTCAAGTATATTCTTGTGAAATAAAATAGGTTTTCTTTTTGCAGTATTAAAAGATAGTTCATCTAAAAATTAACATTTGCCGAAAACTTACTAACCTTCAGGCCATCTAAGATGTAGATGAGTTTATTTCTTCATCAAAACAAAAAGATTTATTAGAGAGATTTCAGATTTTTTTTTTTTGTAGATGTAGATGAGTTTGTTTATTGTATATTATTTAACACTTGCTCATCAATGGATCCACTGCAGTGAATGGGTGCCGTCAGAATGAGAGTTCAAACAGCTGTTAAAAACATCACAATAATCCACAAGTAATCCACACAACTCCAGTCCATTAATTAATGTTTTTTAAAGTGAAAAACTGTGTATTTATAATAAAGAAATCCATCAAGATACTTTTTAACTTCAAACCATAGCTTCCCGGCTAAAATACGAGTCCTCTATGCATAATAACATATGGTCGTGTGCATTACTTGTGGATTGTTGTGATGTTTTTATCAGCTGTTTGAACTCTCATTCTGACGGCAGCCATTCACTGCAGAGGATCCATCAGTGAGCAAGTGATGTAATCCAAAATTTCTCCAAATCCGTTACGATAAAGAAACACTCATCTACATCTTGGATGGCCTGAGGGTGAGTAAATTTGCCACTAATTTTAATTTTGTGTGAACTTTTCCATTAAGATTAATCCGGGTCTCAGACTTAGATGATTATGTTCTAAACACAAATTTATAAAAATGTTAATTCAACTCACCCAAGCCGTTGAGTGTTCCTATGTGGTTGATCATGAAGCCGCTGATGCTGTGATTGGCCAGAGAGTCGAACATGCTGCTGAGTGCACTGGCTCCTGCTGCTGTACCAATCAGGTACTCCAAAATCAGATTCCAGCCAATAAAAAAAGCCACAAATTCTCCCACTGTCACATAGCTGTAAGTATAGGCTGATCCTGTGGTTTTAGGCACTCGCACACCAAATTCAGCATAGCACACCCCTGTGGAGAGATAGCAATGATTACTGTAACACCTGTACTCCTGGAGGTTATCAATAAAAGCATGCAAGTCTCTAACCAGTTGCGGAGATGGAATCATCGATTTTTTTTTTTTTTTTTGCTGAAGTGTCAGATCAATTCTCAAATGTCAAACTCATAGAATCCAGATAACAGGAGGAAAATCCCTCTTTACAGGCTGAATCCCTGTAAACCCCACTACAGTGGAAAAGATAAGGATTATCAGTTTCTATATTCACTCCAATATGTACTCTCTGACATCAGTGCTATAAAGCAGTACATATCCTTTCAAGTTGCTGTAATACATGATCAAATATATGACGGCAGTCACAGCACTTGAATTTATTCATTGAGAATTAACTGAATGGTAAAAAGTAGCAGTTGCATACAAGAATGGAATCAGATTGAATTAAATTTCACTTTAATGGATTTTAAAGATTTGATTGTGATTCTAATGTGATGTCTTTTTATCTTTTTTAAGAAATGAACACTTCTATTATGCAAGGATGCACTGAATTGATCAGAACTGACCGTAAATACATTCATAATATTACAAAACATTTATATTTCAAATATAACAATTTTCTACAAAAATATTAAGCAGCTGAACTGTTTTCAACATGATGATAGGAATATGGAATTATAAGAACAATTGTTTCTTGAGCAGCAAATCAGCATATTAGAATGATTTCTGAAGGATCATGTGACTGAAGACTGGAGTAATGATGCTGAAGCCATCACAGGCATACATTTTAAAATATAACAAAATAGAATATATAGTTATTTTAATTTGAAATAATATTCCACAAAATTACTGTTTTACTGTATTTTTTTTAATCAAATAAATGCACTTTTTTCAAAAACATAAAAAAAAAAAAAAATCTTACAGATGTCAAATTTGTGAATATTTTTTCTTGGAATGATTTTACTTTAATTGAAGGTTAGATTTTTGTGAACATTTTAAAAGAAAGACAAAGAGCATAAAAAGCAAAAACTTTTTCCATGGCCTGTTTTGCAAATATTTACCAAGGGTGCCAATATTAGTGGAGGACACTGTATATCTAATGACTACATGGAATGATAAAGACAAATGCTATCTAAACTCTGCTTCTGTTTCCATGAGTGGAAAGGTCAGCTGCATTCAGGAAAAAATATCCCTTTCATTTTTGGGTTCTTTATGTTGTTATCCACAGGAAAAACTAAATGGATTTTCTCTCCAACTCTATTTTGGGTGCAGCATGCTGTGCACAGCTTCAACCTGTAAACCTAATGAGCCAGTTCAGCGTGCGTCATCACTACACGTCAGGAGGCATAAAGTTATACATGTGTTCACTCAGCTAAAGCCTGACTCAGGATCAGTGAATAAAAAACGATGCTATCTACAGTACAATAACACTACCTAGGCCGCGCTTCACTGAGGGCAGGTTTACAGGAAGATGACAGACCTCTTTTCTCTGTGTTTTTCTCTTTTGTGTCTAACTGACTGGAACAGGAAGTGGGGGTTGCACTCACCTGACAGGATGGAGGCCACAGCAGCAATGATGAAAGACACAATGACCCCAGGACCTGCCATTTCCTTAGCCACCAGTCCAGACACCACATACATGCCAGTGCCGACACAGCTTCCCACTCCCAGAGACACAAGGTCCACGGTGGAGAGAACGCGGGCGAGTTTAGTGCCGTGAGCCCCAGTGCCTCCCGTGCTTTCCAGCATGGACTCCACCGGCTTCGTGCGCAGGACACGGGATTGGAAGGCAAACCAGGAGGCCCCCCACTGAATCCGCCGCGGGTCCAGTTTGGCAAAGAGCCCGCTCATCTTGGAGCCTGGTTATGGATTAAAGGCCTGCAAGAAATGGGGCTGATACTCTGAGGAGGATGGAGGGACTGAAGAAGCTTTGGGTTTTTGATCTTGTAGTATAGGGGGGTCACCAAAAAGCAGCTGAGATGTTCGCTGTCCTTCAGAGGAGCATCATTACCAGATATTTCCACATGACCAGTGAGGGTGAAGGTGAAGCAACGCTGTGAACAAAATGAGATGACAACAGTGAGATCAATCATTATTCTTGGCAGTCATGCTTACATATGCATTTCTTACACTGTATATACAGTAAATGTTATGGGGTCAGTATGATTTTGTTTTAATATACATTTTTAATTAATGTTTTTTTATTAATATATAATATATCTATATATTTTATTAAATAATAACATTACTATAATTTTTGAACAATACAGATAAATATTAATATAATCTTTTTCACAGTAGCAGTGAAATAGTGCTACATTTTACATTTCTTATATGCAAGTCATATATTATGAATTTTCCACCTGCCTAATTCATATAAAATATTCTGTTACTTTTTGTTTCCAATTAAATAATTCGTTATCATTCTGTGAATTCTCCCAAAAAAGATGCATTTACTATCGTTCAATTCACTTTCTGAGGCAACTCAAAGACTGTTGACTGCTAAAACATTTGTGTTGTAGTAAAAGCCTCTTCATGCTAGCCTAAAGGATGCTGTATTCACCAGATTTACATTTACCCGCCTGATTAACTAGTAATGCAAGAAGCAAGAAGCCCTTTTTATCCATCACTGATCTTTGTGAAAGAAAGACCCGTTAGCTTAGTCTAATAGATGAATGAATGCTTTGTACAATGTAAAACATGTAAACACAATATTTTGCTGCCATTGTGGGTCACAAAAAGAAAAACAGATAAGAACTCAGTCATGGATGTATCTGCCTGGCAAAATGAGGCTTTCGTCAGAGAAACCACCAAAAAAAATCATATTCAATTAAAGACAACTTTTAGATTTTAAACAGAGCAGAAAATTTAAATATTAGTCTCAGTTTTTATAAAACCAAACTGTTTATGCCATTTGTGTTCATCATTCAGACAAGAGAGCTTCTTTATAAACGCACTTTCAGATGCTATCTACAGTACAATAACACTACCTAGGCCGCGCTTCACTGAGGGCAGGTTTACAGGAAGATGACAGACCTCTTTTCTCTGTGTTTTTCTCTTTTGTGTCTAACTGACTGGAACAGGAAGTGGGGGTTGCACTCACCTGACAGGATGGAGGCCACAGCAGCAATGATGAAAGACACAATGACCCCAGGACCTGCCATTTCCTTAGCCACCAGTCCAGACACCACATACATGCCAGTGCCGACACAGCTTCCCACTCCCAGAGACACAAGGTCCACGGTGGAGAGAACGCGGGCGAGTTTAGTGCCGTGAGCCCCAGTGCCTCCCGTGCTTTCCAGCATGGACTCCACCGGCTTCGTGCGCAGGACACGGGATTGGAAGGCAAACCAGGAGGCCCCCCACTGAATCCGCCGCGGGTCCAGTTTGGCAAAGAGCCCGCTCATCTTGGAGCCTGGTTATGGATTAAAGGCCTGCAAGAAATGGGGCTGATACTCTGAGGAGGATGGAGGGACTGAAGAAGCTTTGGGTTTTTGATCTTGTAGTATAGGGGGGTCACCAAAAAGCAGCTGAGATGTTCGCTGTCCTTCAGAGGAGCATCATTACCAGATATTTCCACATGACCAGTGAGGGTGAAGGTGAAGCAACGCTGTGAACAAAATGAGATGACAACAGTGAGATCAATCATTATTCTTGGCAGTCATGCTTACATATGCATTTCTTACACTGTATATACAGTAAATGTTATGGGGTCAGTATGATTTTGTTTTAATATACATTTTTAATTAATGTTTTTTTATTAATATATAATATATCTATATATTTTATTAAATAATAACATTACTATAATTTTTGAACAATACAGATAAATATTAATATAATCTTTTTCACAGTAGCAGTGAAATAGTGCTACATTTTACATTTCTTATATGCAAGTCATATATTATGAATTTTCCACCTGCCTAATTCATATAAAATATTCTGTTACTTTTTGTTTCCAATTAAATAATTCGTTATCATTCTGTGAATTCTCCCAAAAAAGATGCATTTACTATCGTTCAATTCACTTTCTGAGGCAACTCAAAGACTGTTGACTGCTAAAACATTTGTGTTGTAGTAAAAGCCTCTTCATGCTAGCCTAAAGGATGCTGTATTCACCAGATTTACATTTACCCGCCTGATTAACTAGTAATGCAAGAAGCAAGAAGCCCTTTTTATCCATCACTGATCTTTGTGAAAGAAAGACCCGTTAGCTTAGTCTAATAGATGAATGAATGCTTTGTACAATGTAAAACATGTAAACACAATATTTTGCTGCCATTGTGGGTCACAAAAAGAAAAACAGATAAGAACTCAGTCATGGATGTATCTGCCTGGCAAAATGAGGCTTTCGTCAGAGAAACCACCAAAAAAAATCATATTCAATTAAAGACAACTTTTAGATTTTAAACAGAGCAGAAAATTTAAATATTAGTCTCAGTTTTTATAAAACCAAACTGTTTATGGCATTTGTGTTCATCATTCAGACAAGAGAGCTTCTTTATAAACGCACTTTCACGAGTGTCTTGCTACAGTGATGTTTCATTAGTCATTCATTTCCAGTCCATCTAACAAATCAGTTCAGAAAGATTATTAAATAAATACGAAAAATAAGCTTCAGTAGGTGGTACTAAAAGCAATGGCTTTTTGTAAGAGTTTGTGGATTTGATATCTTCAGGGCCTCTTGATAGGAAAGAGCTGAAGATAACATCAAGGCCCATGTTGAACACTAATAAAATGTGCCGATGAGTCCTGGTGTGCAGCCAAATAGGAACAGACAAAGAACAAACCCCAGCCTGTTCATTCCTACTCTCATTGGCTTCATTTCCTATCTAACATTCTCTCCCATCTCTCTCAAACCTCTTTCATTCTACCAACTCCTTTTTTACACCTCATTTTATAGTACTTTCCTCTTCTCTTTCACCACTAGCCCAGTTCCTTCCCTTTTAACTCATCAATCCTGTCACTTTGAAGGATTTTGATGGCTTCTCCCATCTGTAATGATACTCTCTCTCCTTCATCCCATGTCTAACTGTCTGCAGACAGTAACAGATCGCAGTGAAATCTGTCCATCACAGTGACTAATGCACATGGCTGCTGACCAAGATAATGATTTGTCTAAAGGTTTACAACCCCACAACAGGCCACATGGACCGGGACTGTCTGCTCTATAGCTTATAAATGACCTAAAAGTATGATAATTTGTATTGTGGTTTCGAAAAATAAACAATAAACTAAGGTGACGTCCTCCCTGTTGGTCTGCAAATGTAAAATAAAATGTTATTTAAAGATTATATGCCATTTCACAGCAGTGTGCAGTTTAAAGATAAACTCAACCTCATATAAAGCATATGTGATCCGGTATCATATCTGAATCTGTCAAAGTCACATAACACTGATGCTGTTTGTCTCTTTGGCCTGCTAAAAGAGTATATACTCAAAACGTGCCCTGACCTTATGACACACACATGTATAAACAGTGGCCTGAGGTGCAACACAGAGCATTGGTATAATTCAAAGCGACAAGATTAAGATGAAGCCAGAAAGAAGTACATACTACACACAGCTCTGCCTAAATATGATACTTTCCACATGCATTTTATGCAACTGACACACAACGCAAAATATATTTGAGCTAGGGTGGCCATATGTGCCATTTATACGGGACACGTCCTGGCCATGATTTTTATATTGCCTAAAACATCCAAAGTAGTTTGACCAATAACATGCAGGTATTGTACATAATCGACCAATTGTGGAGCGTCGCGCGTGAGAAGGCGAGAACGATCAAAACGATGCAAATACGCGCACGTGTTTGTTCGTTCCTTTGTTCGACTTGAAGCAGCGTGCCAATCGTTGTATGACACCAAAGTACCGCGAGAGCGATTTGAAAGCATAAGGAGCCGTCTGCTCTGCTCTCTATAGCTCTCGTGAAAGAATGTCATACAATGATCATTCTGCACAGTGCTAACAGCCAAAACCTGGATATTTTAGGCAATATAGAAATCCTGGCAAGGGTGCGTCCCGTAAAAATGGCCCACATGGTCACCCTAATTTGAGCAGAAAATCATAGCACAAGGCAAAAAATACATATAGCCAATTATATGAAAGGCACATAAATTCAGTGTCAATGAATTAAAGGACTAACAGCAGCCAAGAGCTTTCTGACCCTCCAATGACAGCAACACAACTACCATGTTCAATGCCCAGAAAGGTAGTAAGGACATTGTTAAAATAGTCCATGTGACATCAGCGGTTCAATCTTAATTTGATGAATTTATGAGAATGCTTTTTGTGCACAAAGAAAACAAAAAAAGTGACTTTATGCAACAATATATTCTCTTCCATTCTCTTCGACGCGTGTTCAAGAGAGTACCAGGACACATGCATGTGGTGCTGCTGACTAATGAATTGTTGTTTTGGACAAATTATTATTATTTGTGACAAACTGCAAAGTTTTGGGAGTGACAACCCTATGCATGTTTCATGTGTGTTTGGGCACTACCCTGAACTGGTTGACATAGTGATAACCATAGCAACATTTTGACGTAATACAGCTGTGAACATAAGTAAACATATACAGAAACATATGAATGCCACTTTAACCCATTTGGTGTTAGCTTTTCTTTACCAAACTATTAGTTACAAGAGACATATTTTCAGGATATCAGGGTGGTTTTCATCTTTAAAATGTATGTGTATGCAAGTGCATTCGTATGTTATAGGTTATACACACACATACACTATTCAAAGGTTTGTTGTCAGCAAGATGTTTATTTAATTAAAAAAAACTGTAAACACAGTAATATTTTAAAATACTATTACAATTTAAAATAACTTTTCTTTTTTAATAGATTTTAAAAATGTAATTTATTCCTGTGATGGTAAAGCTGAATTTTCAGCATCATTACTCCAGTCTTCAGTGTCACACGATCCTAAAATCATTCTAATATGCTGATTTGTTGCTTAAGAAACATTTATTATTATCATTGTTGAAAACAGTTTTATGCTTTATAACATTATAAATGTTTTACTGTTACTTTTGATCAATGCAATTGATCAACTGATTAATGTATCCTTGTTAAAGTATTTATTCTTTAAAAGAAAATCCTACTGACCCCAAACTTGTGAACAGTAGTATATATGACATGAAAAGCATATTCAGAGTTGGCTGTACTATTAATGCTACAGTATAAGCTAATATGCATGTGAAGCAAGTATATTATTTTATTATAGAGCCAGAAAAAGCAAACCAAACAGGTGGAGCCCCAGGTGGATGTCAAGTTCGAGTAAATCAGTCATGGCTATCATTTAGGAATCATGATAACAGGGTAATTGCACTGTGATTGCTAAGGGAGGAGGTGATGGAAAGGGTTTGGCCATCTGCAGGCAATGTGAGAAGAATTGATTTCCATTGTGAGATCATTGTGTGGGAAAAGAGAGTGGGCGTTTCTACAGCTTTTGTCAAGGAGGTCTGATTGACTGAACTGTTGCCAGTGTGCATCTGAACGGCAGTATTCAATACAAACCTAATATTGTTCATCTTAGGAATAAATAAAAACACCATAGAAATGTTTGTCTTCACTGATCAAGCTGTACAACCTAACATATAATAAATGTTTCATTTTTGTTCGGTTTCCAATTGATGTTGTTTCTTCTGATAGTATTTACAGCTACATTTTACTCAAAAACACATAAGCCATCACTACACCCTAAATAAAACTTTGGGGCCTGGTCTATTCACATCCTGACAAAAAAAAATTCAGGGCATTTTTATTTAGCTCTAACACTATTTGTATTCTGCTTTCAACGCTAATGCTCAAATTCTGGTCTATTTATCATTTAGATATTGACTTTCATGGTATCTATGAAAACTTCAATCCAATCAACATAACTCAAATATAGCCTTCATACTTTAAAACTTGTTATACAATTGCAGAAAGTCCTGACAAGCTTTCTTTCCTCTAGTTTTATTTTAAATATCTGCTATATAATGACAGTGAGACTTTAATCCATAGTTCCAGATGAGAACCTGACACCCCAACTACTCCCCTTCTATTCACACTACATAATTCTGCACTTTAATCACTCTTGCTAATAACAGGGTGAATTTACAAGTCAATTAAAGTCTTCTCACCTGCATCATTTCACCTTGTGTGACACTGCGGCTATCTGCATTCAGAATGAGAAGCTGAGATCTTCCACCGCACTATTCTACAGCTTTATAGTCTAACCTGACAGTACAAGATACAGCAAAACACAGCAGAGCTACGACTGCAGCAGATGGTGTGTAGAAATGGTGGGCAGAACTGCACCGCTCAAATTATGTAGAGGGATTCAGACTGCATGTATTTTTTAATTGCACAGCCCTGCCAATATACTGTACACCTTGGCAGAAGGAAAGACGGAGAAACTGTTCAACAGGCTGTCCTCAAGACACAGTTTATTTATTGTTTTAAAAGGATTAGGATACCAGTCCTTGTTCAGAATTACAGACGTATCTTAAATGTAACTGAAAAACGCATAATGTATATATGTTAGAATATTACATAATTCAAACATTTCTGAAAGTCTAACTAAAAATCATCTTTGTTTGGAGTTTAGAATGGGGATCAGCATAACATTTGAGAATATAAATAATCATATAAATTCAAAAGTTTGGTGTTGGTAAGATGTTTTTTTTTTTTTTTTGAAAGAAGTCTCATGCTCACCAAGGCTGCATTTGAGCAAAAATACAGTAAAAACAATATTTTAATATTGTCAAATTTTATCACAATTAAAAAGTCTTCAGTGTTACATGTTCTTTCAGAAATCATTCTGATATGTTAATTTGGTGATCAAGAAACATTTCTTATTATTAATGTTGAAAATAGTTGTGCTGCTTAATATTTTTTTTTGTGGAAACCATAATACTTTTTTTTAGGATTATTTGATCAATAGAAACTTCAAACGAACAGCATTTATTTGAACATTTGTAACATTCTTTATGTTTATAGTCACTTTTGATAAATTGAATGCATCCTTGAATAAAAGTATAAATGTGCATTTAAAAAAAAATGCAAACTGAAAAAAAGGAATACTCATGTTCTATACAACACAGTAAGAAACTAACCCACTTATGTAACGTAATGCTTTCTTGAATTCCTTTCATTTTGGCATAAATAAACATATAATTCAAGTATGTTTAAGAACCTTAATGCATCATCTAAAATTCATCTCTTACCTCACTCCAAAAAAAAATGTGTGCAAACAGAAGACCTGTTTAAATGCAGAAACTTCAAACTTTGATTATACTTGTCTTCACCCACACAGTCAGATCTTTCCTCGGGGCAGTATAGTGCAACTCCTCCCTTCTTCTTGCCTTCCCTGCTCTACTCTCCCCTCCTCCTCCAGGCCGCTGTACTGTTACATAAACTGGCTGCTGAGTGGAGTGAATCTGCCTGGCACGAACACTAACACCATTTCAGGCCATCAGATTTATTGCTCCCTCTCTTCCTCAGTACAACTCACATCTCTAAGTATCAGGGCACAGTCAGAGCCAAACTCAACCAAATATTTGACTACAGCATTCTAAAACTACTGTTTTTGCCGCATTATGCTGCTAACTGTTTGACATAGCAACATTATGGAATTAAAGGAATAGTTCACCAAAAAATTAATATTGGATGGCCTGAGGGCGAGTACTTTTTCAGCAAAAGTACTCGCCCTCAGGCCATCCAAGATGTAGATGAGTCTGTTTCTTTATCGGAACAGATCCATCATTAAGGTGTTTTAACTTTAAACTGTCACTTCTGACCAAAATGTGAATCCATAATCCATAATAATGTTTCCTCTAGTGAAAAATCCACTGTTGTCCTCTCAAACCAAAATCCACCAACATATTTGTTTTGGACAATTTTTTTTTGCTTGTAAAGGGTGCTTGATCTGTGCATATTTCACTTTTAATTCAGGCAACATTTCATTAAGTAACAGAGGGCTTGTATTCTAGCTGGAAGCAACAGTTTAAAGATAAAAGCACCTTAATGATAGATTTATTTCTTACAAACACACAGCATTTCACTTCATAAGACACTCATTCTGATGGCACCCATTCACTGCAGAGGATCCATTGGTGAGCAAGTGATGTAATGCTAAATTTCTCTTTTAATTCAGGCAACGTTTTCATTAAGTAACAGAGGGCTTGTATTCAGGGAAGCAACAGTTTAAAGATAAAAGCACCTTAATGATAGATTTATTTCTTACAAACACACAGCATTTCACTTCATAAGACACTCATTCTGATGGCACCCATTCAATGCAGAGGATCCATTGGTGAGCAAGTGATGTAATGCTAAATTTCTTCAAATCTTTTCTGATGAAGAAACAAACTCATTTTGAGTTCATTTATAGCTCATTTTTGGGTGAACTATTCCTGTAATCAGTCAGAGGTCATTAATTAACAACAAACACTGCTATAAGGCAATGGGTGATGTCTATAATAATAAAATCAATCCTAAATTGTTGCCAGGCATTTTACACTACAAAAACTACTTTAAAGATTCCATTTTGGTCTTTATAATGAAATTGGGGGTATTTATTTATGTATAGTGTCTCCTCGGCTGTCCACACTGCATTATGTCTCTTGCTCACTGTCATTAGCCATGCAGTGCTGCAGGTGGTCCTAATTGACAGAAAGCCATTAATTGTATTACAGCATGCGCACAAACAATACGAGTGACATCACAATAGTGGCGGGAGCTTAATGGGAGTATGCACTAGTGTGGCTCATTGAGGAAAAAAGCAAGTCATACCCATGAGTCAGAGTTGAAAAAGCAAATTACAAGCATGCAGCTTTTCAGGAGCCAAAGCACACACACAAAAAATGCTTTCAAAAATGCAACAATAAATAGCTCTTGGTTAATTGTGTTTTTTTTTTTTTTGGAAGAATCTTTGTCCACTCATTTTGAAATTTGTCAAAGGTACACTGTAAAAATGTTCAGAAGTAAAAAGGTACAAAAACTAAACTGCAAGTTGACTTACCATATACTGAATAGTGAGAAATTACATTAAAACAAATACAAATTTTATTAAAAAGGACAATACAATTAATGTGGCTGTATAAAGCAGTACAAACGATTGTTTTTGGAAGTACCTTTTAGAATACTTTATTATACTTATAAAATAGGCAAGATAACATGTTGTGTAATTGAAAGAAAGAAAAAAGAAAATTTACCTAGAAGTCCCTGAATGATGTATAACATCTTTTACTGAAATAAGAAATTATTCTTATTATTTCTGTTATCGGTTATGTACATTACTGCATTTAATGTTACATTGTATGCTGGTTGAAGAGCATTATATTAGTAGGCTACTTGTAGATGCTAACATTAACATTCTCTTCTGCCTTGTGCAGAAGAATAAAATGACTATGATTCAGTATAATACAGTACATAAAAAAATGCAGTTGGGTGCAGTGTAATAAAAAATATGAGCGCACAGTGCACGCAGCCCAATAAATCTGAATAAATAAGCTCAATAAAAAACTAAATCAATAAGACCAACAAATACATAAAGATTGATTATTCAATAAAACAGCAGAGACCTAATAACCTAATATAATGGAACAACAGGAATGGCAATCATTTCCAATTCTATTTAACTGTTTAAAGACCACTCACAAGCAAAATGGCCAATCATCAAACCACTTCTAAGGAGGAGGCAAACATCCATCCCTATACAACTAATTCCTAAGAAGAAAGAGATTAGATCTCTTTCGATCAAGCAGAATAAAAGTCTCCTTACCTACTATTTTTGTAAGTAGTAGTCTAATATTATACTAAAAACAACTTGATATTGTATAAATCCGGACGTGTGTGTTTCAGCACCATGGTCAGCGCCGCTGTATTTTACACGCCCGATTATAAACAAAGCAGCATCCATGAGTAACTGCCATCATGTTTTTGGAGATTAACCTCGTTTCACTGCCTAGAGCTCCGTTACAGACATATTCACAGGCGGTGTAATCAAAAGAAACCATTGCTTATCTAAAACCCACCATCACTAATAATGCAGATACGCCTTTCGCCTTTCTATTGCATAAAAAGCATGTTATTGAAATGTAGACATTCACTTGACAGCGATCTCGCACCGCCCCTCCCGTGAAACACAACCAGCTGACACTAAAACAAAATGTTTCTTTTCTTCTCGTTCTTCGTTTCTTTTTTTAAACACCAATGCAGTGGTTTAAAAATAATCACTGACGAGTCGACATCTGTTTAAAACAAAGTTAATTGCGATAACATATCGTTGTTATCCCAAGAGAGTTGCTTTAAAAAGACGGATTCATTTAATCGTCATTAAACCAAATATATATATATATGTATATTTGCTTTGTGTCTGTAAACTGTAATTAGTCCATATATTATTCTGATTTGGGCTGAAATGGTCTAATGAGGTCTAAGGTACATCCTGACCTAGTGTCCGGGTTCGGTCAACACTTACCTTCCAGGCTGCCGCTGTCCAGCTGTGCCGATGCTGATGTGCGGTGCTGCGGCTTACAGCAGCGAGATAGGGTGGCGTAGTCCAAAACCAGGTGGATCCCAAGCAGGATGCATTTCCGTTTGCGTATCATATGATTCTCATCATAAACATTAGCAATGATTTATCATAACGTAACGCAGCACTGAAGGCGAAAAAATCATCATTGTAGGGATTAAGGTCGTCGTTTTCTTTTTTTAAACACCAATGCAGTGGTTTAAAAATAATCACTGACGAAAAAACAAAGTTAATTGCGATAACATATCGTTGTTATCCCAAGAGAGTTGCTTTAAAAAGACGGATTCATTTAATCGTCATTAAACCAAATATATATATATATGTATATTTGCTTTGTGTCTGTAAACTGTAATTAGTCCATATATGATTCTGATTTGGGCTGAAATGGTCTAATGAGGTCTAAGGTACATCCTGACCTAGTGTCCGGGTTCGGTCAACACTTACCTTCCAGGCTGCCGCTGTCCAGCTGTGCCGATGCTGATGTGCGGTGCTGCGGCTTACAGCAGCGAGATAGGGTGGCGTAGTCCAAAACCAGGTGGATCCCAAGCAGGATGCATTTCCGTTTGCGTATCATATGATTCTCATCATAAACATTAGCAATGATTTATCATAACGTAACGCAGCACTGAAGGCGAAAAAATCATCATTGTAGGGATTAAGGTCGTCGTTGGGAGGGATACTTCACTGATGCTGTAAAAAGGACGTACGCTCGTGTAGTAACGTAGGGGTTAAATTATTCAGACTCTGCCTCCACGTGATAAGCGAGCAAATTCATTATTTATTATCGCCGTCGACGTCAACGACGTTTTGATATCATTGCGTGAGAACATCGAGCGCCTTTTGCGACAAGCAAAATGAATGATCCCTCCTCATTCCGCCATCAAAAGCATGATGGGAAGGGAACAGGAAGCACGCTCGCTGCATCAAATGAAAAGATGCAAAAACCGGGAGATGAAAAGTGATGTAGCTGTTGAATATGCGTGTACCAAATCTACCCAAGAACATAATGGTGTAACATTTGAATTCTTGTCACAGTATTTTTTTTTTTGTGGTATGCGTTTCAAACTTTGATATAATATTTCCATATTTGTCTGCTACAATTAAAGTTGTTTTGAAATCTATAACCTATCCCTAAATTAAGTCAAATAAATGCAAAGCGTGATGTTTGCTTCAGCCTATCACTGTAAAAAGTGATTTTTCTTTTAAATATTGTAAATAAAACAAAGATTAGTGTATTTTCCACAAGAAAATACCCCCTAAATTTCATGTTTAATTCAGTGCGTTACTTGCCATTTCTTTGTAATTGTTTATGAAATTAGCAATGTCTGAGTAAAACATTTTTCTACACCATTTATTTCATGTAACCTCTACAGGGAAAAAAGTTATGTATTTATTATTATTATTTTTTTTTTAATCCTGTATGATTTTATTTTATTATTTCATCCCGCAAAATCATTTATTTTAAAACGGTAAACACATACAGAATAAAATGCAACATAGAATAAAATGTGAAACAAATACAAAAAACATAAAACAGTCTAATAACTCAAAAAATAAGACATTCTGAATGCGTCACTCTCACAATTATCTCCCCTAAAAATTATAGACCTGCTACCACCAGGAAAAAATATATATGTGCTTATGATGGAGAAATATGAGTGTGTATACAGTCCACATTACCTGTGTGTATTGTTTATTAGGTTCAATCTCTGTTAAAAACAATGAGTTCAATTTTCACGCATGAGTCATGTAGTATTACACCCTGAGTAATATTCAATGGTTAGGGAATATTGCTCAGAAGCAGACATGAGTTCCCCTGGAGCAGGAGTTTAAACACATGGCCTTGAATGTGATGGGTCAAAGTTTCAGATCTTACTTTTGCTGTTGCTCTTTTTTTCCTGGTGAAAATGTCAAATCCCCCGCAATTCTCAAGCCATGTGTGTCTGATTAGTCTTTCTCTGCAGAGAATATTTGGTGGGGGGAAAGCACTGTCTCTATCCAATCTGTGCTCTAAAACAGGGCCGAGGACCCAGACCTTGGCTTGGTGTCTCTTCCCAGCCCTCAGCCTCTGGCCCAATCTCTCTGTCTTGGTTGTCACATGTAATAAGGGCTGAGGGCATCTCAGAATTGTTTTGAGAGAAGCATTCCTCATTATAAAACACATCAGTTTGATTCAGCTTCAGAGGCTTTGTGTTTTATGCCAGTGACAATCAATATGGAATCAAGTTAATGTAAAGAGATCGTTATTCAACAAAATTATGAATATGTCAAATTGGCCACTTGAGGAAGTAAGTGTGCAAGACTGTCCCAGGTCTTAAAAATGCCAAAGCGCAGTGCCCTTAACGCACACTAAATCCATCCTCCGGAGCGGTATTCAAGGCTAAGTTATCCCATCATGCATCAAGAACTACAACGAATGGCTCGTTTGGACTACAACGTTGGTTTCCGGGCTTTGTGATGTCACAAAGGGGCCCATTAGAATATAATTAAAATAATTAATATAGTTTTATAATTTTTTATTTAATAGTTCTCCTTTATTAAGTTTGAGTTATTTTAGAAAATGAGAAATGTTGTCTTGGCAACTACACTGTAAAAAAATGACTTTTTTAAAGTTTTAAATAAAACAAAGGTAATTGGAGTACATTTTACAAGAAAATACTTTTTTATTTTTTATTTTGTTTTAATTTTTTTTTTAAATTTTTTTTTTAGTTAATGATAATAACCTTGATTCAATCATGAAGTTATGACAGTTTCTCTGTCAGCATATTTATGGTTCAAAGCTGCCTCCTTTCATTTTGAGGGAGCTGAACTGAGCATTTCAGTTTTGCTAATTGGCAGGGCTCAGATGTCACCCATGTTCCTGCTTCTCTTTGAGGCCCAAACTCGCCTCAGGAGCGAGACCCTGTCATCTGCTCATTATCATTAGCGGTTAGCCCTGACTGCTCAGATGGTGCTAGGCACGCCTGCACCCAGGGATTTTAATGCCAAGCCTCCTGTGATGAACAACAAGAAGAACCCTGGCTATGCGTGCAAGCAGGGGATAGGCCAATCAGGAGAAATGACCGACCTTTCAAAGGGGTGGTGGAGTCATAAGAATAGTACACATAATTTCCCAGCTGAATGTAGGATGGTTATATTTTGTATAGAGAAACCACAATGGAAACTTTGCATGTCTAAAGAAGTTTAGTTGCTATTCAGTTGTTTTGTACAGTATTTGGTTTGTTTCATCTTTTATTAGTTTGGTTTGATATGTATTTTTAAGGATTCACCAATATTAAATTTGTCTGATACAGATTAGCTAAGAAACATGAAAGCTTGTTTCCACTACAGAATAAAACATTTTTAAAAAAGGTAATTGCAACTTTTTATCTTGCAATTCAAACTTTCTTTCTTGCAACTATATATTACATATATTTTGTCAAACATGTTAGTATAACAGTGGTATACCTACAGCTAATATCCCTTCAAATTTTGAGCGATGAAGATTAATAATATTTCAGAAAAAATCAAGTATTTATAGACTGTTCTCTAATTTTGATCTCCACTGTGTGTGTGTGTGTTCTTTTTAAATTTTTTATTGGTCAGTATTGGTCAATATTGTATGTATGTATATATACACAATACTGACCAATAACACTAATACTGACCAATAAAAAAAAATACATCTCAAATTGATAATACTGGCTCATCTCTCTATATTTTTTCATCACACAGGGCAGAATCAGTTTACAGTTATAAAGGGCTTCAGTACATTACCAAAAAATCTGTGCGCACTTTTGATTGCACATGCTGCCTGCAGCACATGTTGCTTATAAAAACACTTAATGGCTGTCCATAATGCTCAAGAATGGAATATTATGAGGTTCTAGGTAATTACGGTTTATCCTATAAAGTGCATTTGCACTCTTTTAGTCTCATCATGATCTTATTTAGTGGTTGGGTAGAGTGTGATTCCCCTAAAACCCTTTTTTTTTTTTACAGTAAATAAAATGTATTGATCATTCATCATCTTCTCTACAGATGGACTGTTGCAGTTGTAAGATGTTTGGTACACCACTGACTCTACAATCCACCTAATAGCATTGTCTCTACGAAATCCATTACAAAACAATTAAATGCTGATGATTTCATTCTGCATTCCCACTTGTACATTCTCCTGCACTTTGTGAATAGCAGCAGACTTAAGTAGTTCTGGCTTGTTACCACCAAACCACAAACCTATCAAACCTCTGCTTCGATACCAACTCTAAAAGGTGCATTACAACTTCTGTCATGAGGAGCTTCAGGATCGCAGAAGCCGACTCCGAGAGGATAGGACTGGAACAGAAAGATTAAAGTCAAAACCAACTCATTTTGTGCCAATGACACAGCCAGTCATAAAAAAAGAAACAGTAAATAAAATGTATTGATCATTCATCATCTTCTCTACAGATGGACTGTTGCAGTTGTAAGATGTTTGGTACACCACTGACTCTACAATCCACCTAATAGCATTGTCTCTATGAAATCCATTACAAAACAATTAAATGCTGATGATTTCATTCTGCATTCCCACTTGTACATTCTCCTGCACTTTGTGAATAGCAGCAGACTTAAGTAGTTCTGGCTTGTTACCACCAAACCACAAACCTATCAAACCTCTGCTTCGATACCAACTCTAAAAGGTGCATTACAACTTCTGTCATGAGGAGCTTCAGGATCGCAGAAGCCGACTCCGAGAGGATAGGACTGGAACAGAAAGATTAAAGTCAAAACCAACTCATTTTGTGCCAATGACACAGCCAGTCATAAAAAAAGAAAATATAAAATAAGTCAAACAAAATCATCTTATTTTAGAGTAAATAATAGTTGCAAACACTATAAAGCACTGTTGCTTGAACAGTTTTCCTTCTACTTTTATGAAACCTGGGGATCTCTCTATGGAGAAAAGCCTTGCGCTGTTTCTCTCTTGGTGCCAAGAGGGAGATCGACAAGTCTGTGATTGGATCTTTCTTTTTCATCAGTCATCCAGTGGGAGGGCCAAGCTCCTATCAGTAAAGCAGGGCACCATCTGGCGCTATAGTGGGATGGGGGGCTCATAAGGAGGGCTAATTAATGGAAACACTGTAATGGGCTGGATGTCAGAAAGGCAATGATACCTTCCATCCTTATATATCAATACAAATTAGTCATACATTCACTTAAAGTGCATTATGAAATGAAGAAATGAATGCCATTTAGACAGAAGATACAACCCGACACAGTACTATTATATAACTATAAAAGTCCTGAATGGTGTATTTTAAAAATAAATGCATTTATTCATGTCTAATGTTTCAGGTCTATTTTCTTTAATACCTAAATAACTGTTTGTAAGAAAAATGCTCTGAGCCGGATGAGCAGAAAATTGTTTCAAAGCAGCAGCTTTTATGAGGGAAGTGGTTTTGAAAGTGGAAATGTTTTGATGAAGGCATTTAATTGTGCGTGGCTGATTACTGTTGACACACTGAAGGCCTCTAGGTGTACTTATGTGGCAGAATCATTACCAAAATGTAAACTTGTGCAAAGAGGAACGTCTGCTACAAAATGAATGTAAACAATTGGAATTACACAGAGGAAATTATTCTCTCAACCAAATCATCAGAAATGTAAATAATCACACCCTAACCACATCCACACTAACACAACACATTTTTATGATTTTTTACCATTTTTATGATTTTTTTATT